CATAAGAACTGTACAATGAACGAATGGCAAAATGTATTGCAGACAAGCGGGTCTAAGTTTGAAGTTTTTGTTAGTAAGAGGAAGATTTATGCGAGAATAAAACCAGGAGAAATACTGAATGATGAAAATGTGGTTTTAATGATGTTTTCTTTTCCTTACGTTCCTTCACACTCAGTAATCTGTTGAGTCTTAGTGTTTTTTTGCCTTCCTTGGAGTGACATGATTAAAAAATAGAGACCTTTGCATTGTCATGAAGAACAACAATCTTTTTTAATTGACGAGCAACGCCAATCGCCATCTCCCTTCTTCCTGATCCCTATTCATTTATTGTCCTTTCTCTAAAATCTTCCACTCTCTCTTACTCCCAGTAACCCCTTGCGTCTTAGTGGTATTATCGCCTTGCTCGGGTTGAAATGATTCAGAAATAAAATAATTATATATATATATATATATATATATATATATATATATCATCCATATATATATATATATATATATATATATATATATATATATATATATACTCATCCATATATATATATATATATATATATATATATATATATATATATATATATATATATCCATATATATATATATATATATATATATATATATTATTTCTCGCTTGTTGTTTAGATTATGTATTTGTAGCCACAACTACACTTACATCTTTCAACACTGATATCCACTTTTTTTTTAAACAATCTTTAGTAATAAGACCTTCTGCGGAGGTCATGTCGCAGTTTAGGGAAATCCGAAGCGGAGTCTATGGACCAAAAACCCTACAGGTGTACAGATAAGAATGGACATGTCAAGGAAGAAATGAATTTCGAAAAAAAGGACTAGTGTGTCATTTGATGAAGAGGGTGGCCCAATCTCCGGTCGTGATACGGAATGCATTTCGAAGCGGAGGAGTCAGGACAAGTGGGTGGGGTAGCTGTGAAACAAGAAGTTGAAAAGGAAATGAATGGAAATGAAAAAGAAAAAAAATCAAAACAATAAAAAGAATGGAAAGGAGAAATGTGAGATTTTTGGCAAAGATTGGAAAACATCAAGCAAAAACTAAAAAAAGGAAATTAATTTTACCTAAGTAAAAGAATAAAACAAAAAAAAACATATAAATAAAATGTTTTAATTACTTTTCCCACTTTTCTAAATGCTAGAATTCAGTCAGTACAAGAGCCTCTCAATTCAGTCAGTATAAGAGCCTCTCAAGGTAGAGGGTTGCTGTTAAAATGAAAATGATGAATGTTGTGGGTGATATAAATCAAAGAAGAGGTAGAAGGAAGTGAAGATTATGAGATTAAGCGGGATAGATAACAATTGACACATAACTTTAAAAGGTCAAGATTGAAGTGTTCAAGGAAGTATTAAAGCAGGTTTCTGTTCGACTAAGTGGCTGTTCTTGAAAAAAAAACCCAGTCTGAGTGGAACACTTTTATAATCTTTTTATAAGACTTTAGAACAATGTTTCGCAACTTCAGTTCGCAAACCCTCAGCTGGTGTAGTGATTATGATCTTCATGGATCTTCAATGCATATAGCCATTTACTATACTTAACTCTACTTAGTCAACCAAACTCCTATGAGCGAATATGTAAGCAATTGTCAGTATGTTGTCCATTATTTGAGAATTCGATCGAGTTAGCTTGATTATGAGTCTATCTGAATTTATGGGTCTATCTCGCCAAAGATTTCAGATCAAGTTCGGGAGGTCAATAGGGCGGCATGGTGTCTCATAAAATAGCTGGTCAATGTAGGGTGTTGCAGGGCGACCTACCCGTCTTTCTCAATATCTATGTGTCCACAGCAGTAGATCACACGCGAGTTCTTGATTTCCTCGCCAGCTGTGTCCCGAAAAGCGCATTCTGCGTTTACGTAAGATTGTAGAAATATCAGGGATGGGTCCATAGAGCTGTAATTTATTTGGATGTTGTCTCCAAGAGATGAGCGTCCTGGGTATGAAGATAAACTACATCCGCGTCCTGGGTATGACGATAAACTACATCCGCGTCCTGGGTATGACAATAAACTATATCCGCGTCCTGGGTATGACGATAAACTACATCCGCGTCCTGGGTATGACGATAAGCTACATTTTCGTCCTGGGTATGACGATAAACTACATCCGCGTCCTGGGTATGACGATAAGCTACATTTTCGTCCTGGGTATGACGATAAACTACATCCGTGTCCTGGATATGACGATAAACTACATCCGCGTCCTGGGTATGACGATAAACTACACCTACGTCCTGGGTATGAAGATAAACTACATTTTCGTCCTGGGTATGACGATAAACTACATCCGCATCCTGTGTATGACGATAAACTACACCTACGTCCTGGGTATGAAGATAAACTACATTTTCGTCCTGGATATGACGATAAACTACATCCGCGTCCTGGGTATGACGATAAACTACACCCGCGTCCTGGGTATGAAGATAAACTACATTTTCGTCCTGGGTATGACGATAAACTACATCCGCATCTTGGGTATGACGATAAATTACATCCGCGTCCTGGGTATGACGATAAACTACACCCACGTCCTGGGTATGAAGATAAACTACATCCGCGTCTTGGGTATGACGATAAACTACATCCGCGTCCTGAGTAAAACGATGAACTACGTCCAACAGCAAGGCCTCTGATAATACGATTTTGAAAAAAATAATTTTGCCAGTTGTACGTTTTAGAAAAAAATATTACTAGCTATACTTGAAAAAATAATATTACCAGAAATAATGCATTTTTGAAAAAATAATATTACCAGAAATAATACATTTTTGAAAAAATAATATTACCAGAAATAATACATTTTTGAAAAAATAATATTACCAGCTATACATTTTTGAGGAAAAACATTAACAGAAATAGATTCTTAACAAAACAAAAATATTATCAGAAAAAAAAGTTGTCGGCATTAAATGACCCATTGAGATTGATATGCCGTAAAACAAACTAAAACAAACCAAATCAGTATCTGAGTGTACGTTCCATCAAGCTTAGACACAAGGGTTTTGGTTAATATCCAAACAGTGGCACCATACATTAACACCGCCTCTACAGTGGCTCGAAAGAATCTTTGGTTGCATTGCACATTCGTGGAAAGGCCGAGGCGTTTTCTCGCTTCTCATCCAACTTCAGGTAGCTCTAGCGACTTGTCAGTTCAGAAACATATTATATATCGAGGTCTGTTAGCATAAGGATCGAGAATGCATCGATCTCACTCTCAGGTCGCTAACCTGTTATTCTCCAGCAGTCACCGATCTAAGTAATGGCCAGGTTGCATAACTTCACTGATCGAACGAGAGCCGCTGATAATGAAGCAACTATATAATTAACTTTACAACTAGCGCATTCAAATTTATGAACGACTCGTGTTATAGAATCGATCTGTATTTGATGTTCATTTGAAAACACAAAAACCATGTTCTCTGGTCCTCAAAACAATCTTCAAAAAGACGCCATCTCTAGTAAAAAAACTGTTTTAAAACAGATCATTTATTTTATAATTGAAACGTTTTCGCATAATCACACAAGTATAGACTTTTTTTTAAATGTTGAAAATGCTAGGTAACTTTGAAATATTTGAGAAGAATATTAGAATTATTTAGAACTTATACTGGGAGCAAATCGCCTGCATACAGATAGAAAATGAATTTAGTAAAAATACAAAAAAATGACCTACATTCTGTTGTTAACTTGGGCTAGAAACAGCTTGCTAATTTCAACGACTCCAAAATGAAACTGCTCTCGATTATGGCTGATGCTAACCTTCAAAAAATGATTCATTGTGCTAACGTTTTCCGCTGACATGAAGTGGGAAAATTATATTGAATCAATTGTTACGTCTGCTTGCTAGGAAATTTGGTTCAATGTGTTGTCCGAGACGATTTTTCACTCCAGAGCGTATCTCACATATTTATAAGTCTACCATTCATCTGTGCTTTGAATGTTGCTGCCGGATATGGTCTAGTGTTTCTGCTATACATTTAGGTATCCTTCATAAAATCCAAAGAAGAATCTGAAATGTTATTGGTCCGGACCTTGCATCTCGTCTTCAGTCACGTTCTCAGCGCCGCGATGTAGACTCCTTGTGCATTTTCTGTAAATACATTCATGGGAGTTATTCTGATAAACTTTCCTCTATGGTGCCTAGACATTATGAATTTAAGCGCAGTTCTAGATTGGCGGCTAGGTCTTATCATTTTACAAATGAAACGGCTTGATTCAACAATAAGTTTCTTTTCGACGCTAAATTTATTTTCTTGCATTTCTTAGAACTCTCGGCTTCTTGCTTTCCAGCCAAGTTTGAATCTTCAAAAATTTAAATCCAATGTCAATCATTATTTTTTGTCCTCTTAATTATTGTCCTTTTATTGTTCTTTCTCTGCTTAATGTTTTTCTTATATTCTTCCATACTCAGGGTGTTAGTGGCTTTATTGACACATTTTATTACTTTAATAAAATGGTTGGTAAAAAGGAAGTGCAAGGAAATACTGCTAAGATCTACGAATGATGTTGAGATCTAAAAGTCACCCACATCCTAAAGGGACATGTTCGATAAAAGAAAAAGGAACATTACCGTATTCGTTTTGTCTATATTTTGTGTATGCGCATATATATTTTGAAATAAAATATTGAATATATTTGAAAATAAAGGGAAAATATGTTATTTTCGTTTTCAGTTTTTTCTTGCTACAGACGTCTTACCAGGACAACTGTAAAATGAACACACATATGAGTTGGGAGGGACTTCGTTGTGACAAGATGATGTAATTGAAATTATAATTTTTACTTGTGTTCTGAGGACAAATCGCATTGTAAATTGCACATCTATCTCAATCACAAGACTGTCTGGCTAAGTATTAGAATTGTATGTAAAGGGCCCTTTATAATTATGTAACATAACGGGATCAAAAAGAAATTTTTCCGGCATGAAAAGTAGATTAAGTCGTTCAAGAAAGCATTTGTGCTTTTTTTTCGCAGCGAAAGGGGTTTTATTCTTAGTTGTGATATCAAAAGACAAACCATTCTTTCTAGTCGTCACTCAACGCCCGTTTGTGTGCAGTTACCGTCTGTAGGCTTCACTTCTCTTATCCTGTCTCATCAAACTTGTGGATCGGGGCTGATAGATAACATTTTGACCTCCCCAATGTTTTTTCCCCAGTAACCACCCACGACTTTTAGACGTTTTGGGTTTGAAGACAAAGTATTTGCTTTTTATTATCCGAACTCTTTCTCTCTGTTGTCAGTATTAGTTGTTTTTTTTTTTTTCTATTTAATTCTTTCTTCCTTTCTTCCTTTCTTCCTTTCTTCCTTTCTTTCCTTCTTTCTTTCTTCCTTTCTTTCCTTCTTTCTTTCTTCCTTTCTTTCCTTCTTTCTTTCTTCCTTTCTTTCCTTCTTTCTTTCTTCCTTTCTTTCCTTCTTTCTTTCTTCCTTTCTTTCCTTCTTTCTTTCTTCCTTTCTTTCCTTCTTCCTTTCTTTCTTTCTTTCCTTCTTTCTTTCTGTTTATCTCTGTCTCTGTCTGACTGTCTATTTCTCCTTTATCTTTATCGATATATATATATATAAGTGGGTACGTTGAAATATTTTCGGCTCAAACCACTTCCTAAAACTTAGCCAAATGGCATAATATCAGGCAAATCGGATAATCGAACTTTCTTGAGGAAAGAGTGTTTGGAAAAATTGGCATTAACAATACAAATTGGTAAAAAAAGGGGCAAAGGGAAAGGACAATTAACCTACTTAATGAGTTTGTGCAAACTAATGGCAAAACATAGACTGTAAGGGATAGTAAGTGGATATACTACTTACAGATACAAAAGATAGGAAGTTGTGGAGAGACATCATCCTGAAGGTGTATAGCTCATAGTAGAAGAAGATGATCTACGTGCTTATTTTTTTTAAATATTATGTTTCGACCGATAAGTTTCTGGGTCATTTTCATTTGTAGATCTGAGTTAATAATCTTTGACAAGGATCTTTTATACAAAAATCCATTCGCTACCAATCATATTAATGCAAATATCTGCGCAAAATGATATAGCTTCGTCCTATGTCTTAACTTCTTTATATATATATATATATATATATATATATATATATATATATATAGTAATTTATCGAGTTTAGAAGAATCCTCAACACAATGCAGAAAGCATTGGACGTCCGTTTCGACCCATTTGGAACTCATCAGCAGTGCACATCCACTACCGCGAATATATATATATATTAAGCATTTCACTCAAAGTAAGGAGGAAGTGCCACTAGCACGCAGGATCCACAGGGAGAGGATGTGAGAGAAAAGATTGCGCATAGGTGGGGGGGGACCGAGGAAAGAAAAAAAGCTTAACGGGGTCCAAGAAGATAGAAGATAGAAAACGTTGCATTTAGATATTTGAAGATTGTAGTTATCAGGGAAGCAAGTATATGGAAGGTAGCCCCACAGGCGGAAAGTTAGAGAAAAGAAACTGTTGGAGTAGAAATGACGGTTGCATTAACTATTTCAGCAGTAAATGGGTGGGACCTATATGCCAATCTAGTAGTAGACTTAGATTCATGTAGTCGGTGCACCACCAGTCCCTCTTATGACCCAACGATCCTCCTACTTTTCTCATTATGTATCCTAGAACCGTAGTTCTTATTTCATTTAAAACTCCCTTGTTATTCACATGTTCTGTCTATGATATTCACAGCATTCGACGCTGGAATCAAATTTGTCTTTCCTTCAAATCTCTTCTTCTTCCGCGTGAAGATTGTTCAATCTTCACTAGTATATAGGAGCACCGTACTTGTAAAATATACGATGATCTCTGTTTGTTTGTTTTTTTTATTCTAAAGTGACTATCCCTTCAGTAAGTTCCTCTTCTCTTTTGACCAATCCTTCTTTGACCAGCCGACGGTTCAAGAAGCCAACAGATAAGAATTCTATTTAAACTAGAGTAATTTGAACCTAGAAACTGACTGAACTGCTCGTGTGTCATTGCCGTGGAAAAACTGACAGCTGACATCTGATGCTTTTCATTATTACTAGCAGGTTGATCATTTAGGAAAGAAAAAAAAATTACTTAGGTTTCTTCATTAGGTCAGACGTCACAAACAGCAACGGGAGAAAATACATAGTGTAAGCGAAGTAGTCGACTGATTCCTCCCAAATGAAACAGCCGATGATCGAATCCAGGCTAACGGATTCTGGTCGTAAAAACTACATTTCGCTTCGTTTATTTTGGGAGATTTTATATTATATGATTGATTGATTTGTTTGTTTAACAGCATATCAACTACTTATGTGTCATTTAATGTCAAAATTTAATTTTCTTGTGAGTTTTAAAGTAATAAAAATGTTATTTTGCTTTCAGAACTGAATACATAGTAGATGATACTCAGATTTTTATTCATATACATGCTTGCATGGACATAATTACTAGAGGCGATGATATATATGTTGTTTTTTTGTTGTTATAGTTTATAGTTATATTTTAGAATACAGTTTGGTTTCTTTAAGAAATTGTAGGATATTATATGGCTTAATATCATGAAAGATATCTTTTATGTTGGTTGTTTAGTTGGTTAGTTGACTGGTTTTGTCTAGCGACATATCAGCCTCTATGTGTTATTTAATGCTGAAGTTTAAATATTTTAACGCTATTGTATGCTTTCAACCGCCGAATAAAATGTAATATTCGTCTTTTTGCTATAAAGTGTATCGTTGGTAATTCTATTATAAATAGGTATTTTTGGTAATTATTTTATACAAAAATGAAAAAAGGACTAAAAAAATGCCAGGCACTTAATTTAATCATTTAAAAATGGAACATTTTTATATGACGTCATATCAGTGAAACATCTCATCAGCTTGTGTGGAACGTTCATTGTCTTAGACACTAATTACGATTGGTACTGAATCACGATGTGATACAATTTTCTGTCTATTTTCAAAAATTCCTTTATCCTTTATATATATATATATATATATATATATATATATATATATATATATATATATATATATATTTGGTGTATCAAAAATACTTTTTACAAACTTTCGAATCTATATAAACTTACGTTCTCAGATCCTTCATTTTTGAGATATTAAATTTAAAGAAAGTTTGCAGTAGATGGCGTTGTGTTACTACGTAGACTAGGTTACATTTGTCATTCGTGTACATTTGTGGCTAGGCTGTCTTCAGCGTTAAAGCTGGTTGTAGTGGGTAATGCAATGGTAGGATATATCGTGGGCAGGTTCATGTGATTTTTACATACGGCCGCGCGAATGGTAATGGACGCGAGGCTGCACGGCTGTATGAGATTCCAGATGGAAGGCAGCCGAGTTATCCAAACTTTGCTGCTGTTTATCTTCGCGTTGCTGAGACAGGATCTGTGGCACCACAAACTATGGATTGAGGAAGACTGGGATCCCGTGGTACACCTGACAGCGAAGAACACATTCTACAGGCTGTTGGAAACGATCTAGGTATCAGCACACGTCAAGTGGCCTTAGCATGTCGTATATCTCATCACACCGCATGGAGGGTACTTCAAGAGCAGCTCCTGTATGCGTATCATTTGCAACACGTGCAGGCTCTTTCGCCTTTTGATCACTCACCACGGGATAACTTTTGTCGGTGGTTTATTGCACAAACTGCCGATCCGTTGTTTGTCTCTTCAGGTTTGTTTATGGATAAGGCAACATTTGGAAGAGATGGAATAAGAAATTTAAACAAACAATATTTGTGCACGGATCTGAATCCCTATGGTACAATATAGGCTAGACACCAGCATCAGTTTACGATTAATGTGTGGGCTAGAATTGTAGGTGACTGTCCAGTAGGTCCATATGTTCTCCTATAACGTCTTACTGGAGCTGATTACAGGGACTTTATTTCTAACACTCTTCCAGACCTGCTAGATGTACGCCTGCTAATACGGAAAAGCATGTGGTTCATACATGAGGGGCTTGAGAATATTTTACTCACATTTTTCGCGATGCACTAGCTGACATTTACCCTGATGGATAGGTAGGCGAGGACCGATTCAATAGCCTACAGGTTTCTTAAACCTCAATCCTCTGGGGGGGGGGTATCTGTGGATCCACATAAAACAATTGGTTTATGCAGCAGACATTAATAATGCAGAGACGCTTCATTAACGTGTCATGGGGACCTGCGAAACCATTCGACACCGTGTGGGAGTATTTGAAAGGGTCCACCAGTCAATGATCTGATGGATGCATGTTTGCGTAAAGGCAAGCGGAGGACATTTTGAACATTTGTTATGAGTTACTGTGTTGAGGTACAACGATGGTATTTTGGACATATATTTATATAGATATTTTACCTGATTTTGATGTCAGGAAACCTCTCTCAAAGGTTGTAAAAGTATTTTGGTACACATTGTATATATTCTCTTTGTTTATGTTTGGACATGAAAATGTGCAGATATGAAAACTTCAGAAGATCTATGACGAGAGAAATTTCGCTTAAAAGTACATTTCGAGCCGTTCCTGGTTAATTGTTTCTCTGTAGCTCAGTTGATTAAATCGTGGCGAACCCAGCGGCACGCAGGTTCGAATCTTGGTGGAAAGTGTAAATTTTTTATTAATAAGATTTATCGGACATTCAGGTGGGTAGACAAAAATAGATGAAATATATAAACGGAGCGCGGACTCAAATACGAGTATTCACTAAAAATAACGTTTCAAGAAATAAATATATATGAAGAGAAGAAAGGATGTATATTTTTTATCAATTCACCCCAAACAAAGCGAAAACGCCTATAAGACGTAATGAGTTACTGGAAGTGAAGAAAAAAAAAAAAGTTTTCCGGAACCGGAAACATAATCCTAAACCGGAAGCAATGTATAAACTTCTGCTCCTGTTCAAAAGACTAAGGAGGATTGTGAACCCGGAGATTGTCCCCCCAAAAAAGGTCGACCAGGAAGATAACCTTTTTAAGACAAACAGTCATCGTAAATCGTGTTTGATAACCAGAGATAGAACATCAATAATAACAAATAAAATTAAATGTTCATTTATCTTTTCTTTACTTTGCCTTTCGTAGAATTATACCACTCTTAAGGTCTTTTATAATCAGGTATCCTGAAAAGTGAATGTTTTCCAGTTCAGCTGGAAATTCAAAGAAAGTTACTGAATACGACTAAGAGCTGACGATGACTGTAGAGCAAAATGGCTGAAACGTTGTGACAATGACAACCAAAGGTGACAGCAACCTTTTGAATAAATCAGTGTGTATTAATAATTCTTCATTTTAGAAATTCAAAGACAAAACATTATTTTTTTATCAATTTAGCGAAATTTAATATTTAATTCCGTTAAATATTACATAAAAAAAGAACTTTCCAGATTTTCTTAGAAGTTATACCGAACTTAGTCTTGCAAATATAAAAAAAAGAAATCCAGAAAGCCATAGGAAATGGCATTTAATCCTTATTTCACCATAAATATTTTGGGTTTTTTTATGTATGTCTTTAGCTTTTAAAAAAATGAAATTAAATATTTAATGTTCAAAAATATTTTTTTTTATAACTGGGGCGATTTCGAGTGGTATGGAAAGCAGGGAATTGTAATCACACTCGCGTACACACACACACACACACACTACACACATGCGCGCGCGCATGCGCACAAATATTATGTTAAGTTGGCTTTCTCTCGACTTCTATCCTCTCTACATCAAAGTAATCAGCGATCGTCTAAATTACTCGAAGTATAACAAATAAATTCAGCAATTTGTTTTACAAGTTTCCACTTTACATCAAATGGCTTATTCAACACCAGGAGAAATTCATCAAATGCTATCACTGTCGTGGCAGGAATTCGTAGTCATCGCATGCAATAAACTCGTTTAATTGAAGGCTGGCTGCTTAAACACACACACACACATACACATATATATATATATATATATAGGCATAAATTGATTAATTTTCTTTCAAATAAATACTTGGTAAAAGAAAAATTATTTTAAAGAAAATTTTGGTATTTTTCTTGATCAATTTTCTACAACCACCTAGAAATTAATTCGTGGGCTTGAAAGGATTAAAACTAAAATAAATAGACATAATACGTCTAAATTACGTAACCAAACCTGCTTAAGTTAATACACACACACACACACACACACACACACACACACACACACACACACATATATATAAATATATATATATATATATATATATGATTAAAGACGACAGAATTTTTATGCCGATTAATTTTAATGGTCGACTTTTACATATTACGAATAATTCTTCTAAGACAAGGAAGGAACTCTGTCAGAAATTGTCCGAAGTCAACTTGTGTAAATTGTACATGAAATATGGTACAAGCTTTCGACTTACTTAAATTATCATCAAGGTAGTCAGAGATCAATGGTGAGTTATGATGACTTCAGGAAGGTGAAAGCTTGGACCATATTTCTTGTACTTTTCTGATGAAATGAATTTTGGATAATTTCTCACGAAATCTTGCTTTGATTACGAAAAACGACCACACACACACAAATATATATATATATATATATATATATATATATATATATATATATATATATATACATCTATATATATATATATATATATGAGATATATACAATGAGTTATGGTTTTAATAAAATGGTGCTCGATGTAATATTACAGATCTATTAAGTAAATATTAATAGATATACATCTTATTTCTTACTGGTGAGGAATAATTTATTCATTTATTCATTATATATATATATATATATATATATATATATATATATATATAGAGAGAGAGAGAGAGAAAGAGAGAAGCAAATAGTTTAAATATAGATTATAGATTAAAATAATGTAAAAAATATTAAAATGTAAACTAAACTTAGTGTTCAATACCAAAATCGGCAGAGTTCAAATATAATAATAATAATAATAATAATAAT